TCCACCTCCTTCCCGACTGTTGGTTTAGTTCATAGATGTCGTAGATGATGAACCTCTACCTCCTTCCCGACTGTTGGTTTATTTCATAGATGTCGTAGATGATGTCCACGTTAGTTCTCCTATATGGTTCGGTCCGATAGCTAAGAAAACCCGTTATTACATCATGCAGCCACTGCATGCTCGCTACAATTGTTCATTTGCACATGCGAGTGGCCCTTTTCAGGCCACGTCCATGGATGTTACAACAGATATGTGTTTTCTGACAAATATTTCGCTTTTTCGTTCGTTGTAAATAGCCCTTTTAACAAACATTTCCATAAATGTCGATATAAAAACTAACAGCACTGATCTTATTTTACATTTCAAAAAATCTTTATGAAATAAAATAAACATATCTAGCTACCGGTTTGCCAAGTAATAGGTGGCCATAGGGTCACAAAGAATGAATTAGATTTAGTAAGTGCACATGCTCAACGACGCTGCTGAAATTAGCGGAAAATGCTATGAAACAAGTTATGTACTATAGTTGAAATCCACTCGTGCGTTTTAGAGATATGCATAAATTAATCTAATAAAATAATTTTACAATGATTAACAGAAGTGATAGTTTAGTAATTTTTCACTTTCTCTAGCTCGGATTGTGGTAATCCAAACTATCACATTTTTAATGGATGTGCTCTACTGGACTTTTACTTCACATTCCAAATTTCAAGGCAATCCATTACGAAAAACGATATAAAATTTGCAATCTTGATTTATTGTTTTCTTCGCACCGACAGTACGGAAACTTATTTGATATAAAAACATACTTAACTTATGAATTTATTTCGAATTTAGTACATTGATAGATCTTTACAGCTTACAATCAGGTCTCAAATTTGGTTTAAGTATAAGTCACACGTGCAAAGTTATTCTACAAAAACCGCTCAATTTTGACCAAAGTTTTTCTCACGCCTACACAAAAAAGTCACGGGAGCTATCTAAAAAGGATCGTCTTTAGTTTGTGTTTCTGTTTAAATATAATCCAAGCAAACTAGATTAGCAGTTTCTAGCTCAAATTTAAGAGAATCATACGGGTGGACGGTTATTATTCATTGCCAACTTAATCATAAATTTGTTAAAGTTTATGAAATTCTCCTAGTTAAAGAGCGTTCAGAGTCACGTGATATTAGCGTAAATAATGATGCTTGACACGACTGTACCGAGTGCATGCAGGTGATTACAAGAAACTGTTAATGTAGTTTCCATGGCGTTACTATAAAGGAAGCTATTAACACTGTTTTAGAGATAAAAAATTACCAATATATATATATATATTGTTACGTCTCCGTTTGTTAATTAACTTTCCGTAACTTTGTTCCGACAAAACTTAAGCGACACAAGTGCTTTCTTGATAAAACTGGTTTATTCTTTCCGAATATAACTTTACCGATACACTCAACTTCAACAATCGCGCTAAAACAACGCTATAACG